AAGGAAACAAAGGAAGGTAAAAGGAAAGTGAAAATTAAGACAAATAAAAAGCATGCATGTAAGATGGTTAAAAATAAGCTCAAAGAAACCAAACTTTCCAGTTAAGACAGAAAGATTGTCAGATTTGATTTTTTTTAAAAGATCTAGTGATGTGATATTTAAAGGACAAATCTGAAATAAAAAGCTACAAATAAATTAGAAGACAAAGTATGAGAAATACAGAGTAGAGGAAAGGTGTTGAAGATTTAATATAGACCCAGAAAAGGGCAGAAAGCATTACTAAACAGAATTGTTGTATAATAAAAAGTTCAATAAGTCGTGAAGTTATAATAGTTCTAAATTTTTATGGACCTAATAAAAATAGCCTCAGCATGTTTGAGATAGATACTGCCAAATTGCCCTCTCTAGGGGCTATCCTAATTTTCACTGTCACCAGCAATGAATGAGATTACCTGATTTCCTACACACCAGAATGTTATCAAATTCTTAGATTTTTTGTTGCTTTGATAAATGATAAATGGCATTCTTAATGTTTTTTAATTTTTTTCTTATGAGTGAGGCTGAACACAATTTCAAACAGTTAGAGCTATTTCTATTTTCGGTCCCTTCCTGGCCTTTGCCTATTCTTCTGTGACAGTGGTGTGCTAGAGCCGCTTATACCAGTTTATCAGGGCCACTTGTTAAATTTTCAGTAATTTTATAAGCTGATTGACATCACATTAGTAGCCTGAAATGGACCATGGCGGGAATATTTACACCATGGAAATTGGAAAACACCACAAGTCAGTAGAAATTCCTTCAATCCTAGCTGATTGTTAAACATTTATTACCAAGCCTTTGGTTGTTAGACTTCTTACTGATTCCTATGAGCCCATTATACATTAAGGAAATTAGCCCTTTGTGATATGAATAGCAAATAATTTTTCCTAATTTGTGATTTTCTTGATTTGTGCGTAGTTTTCTTTTTGCATGCCGAAGTTTTAAAAAACTGAAATAGTAAAATTTTTCTCTTTTTGTCAAATGGCTTCTAATTTCAAGTCATAGTTAGAAAGGACTTTTCTATTACAAGTTACAGAGGAATTCTCCCATTTTTTCTTTCAGAGTGGTTATGGTTTCATATTTTTATTCTTAGTCCATTTGTTCTTCTTTTTTTTTTTTTTCTTTTTCGAGACAGAGTCTCACTCTTTTGCCCGGGCTAGAGTGCCATGGTGTCAGCCTAGCTCACAGCAACCGCAGACTCCTGGGCTCAAGCGATCCTCCTGCCTCAGCCTCCCGGGTAGCTGGGACTGCAGGCATGCGCCACCATGCCTGGCTAATTTTTTCTATATATTTTTAGCTGTCTAATTAATTTCTTTCTATTTTTGATAGAGACGGGGTCTCAGTCTTGCTCAGGCTGGTCTCGAACTCCTGAGCTCAAACAATCCATCCTCCTCGGCCTCCCAGAGTGCTAGGATTACAGGCGTGAGCCCCTGCGCCCGGCCCATTTGTTCTTTTTATTGGTGTGAAGTATGAAGGATGGCTCCAACTTAGTTTTTCCAAAGCAAAACATCAAATAAGATCCTGTAGCATATTTTCAAAATGTAACACATTATGCTAAACCCATATCAGTCCTTGTGGGGTGAAGCAAAAACAATGAGAGAAAATCATTGACTTATGTTTATATTAGAAGAGGGACTGAATTAGGAGTTTGTTTCCAATTTATTAGAAAAAGAACAGAATATACCCAGAGATGAGTAGGAAGGAAATAATAAAGAGTAAAAATTGACGAAACAAGAAATAAACATTTCACTAGAGAAGATTAAGAAATATAAAATTTGATCCTTTTAAAGTACTCATAAAATAGACAACCTTTCAGAAAGGTCCTTAGGGAAAATAGTTATTCTTAATAAACTGGGAGAATGATAAAGTAGGTGTAAGTGTGGATCACTAGAGCTTTAAAAGTAATAGGAGAAAACTATGACAACTTTGTATTAATGATTTAAATACAAATTGTACAAATTTCAGGAAAACCCAAAACTTTTTCTTCAAAGAAACAAACAACTTGGTTTAATAGTTGTAAGACTGCTCATTAAATAATTTGAATCAGTAGTTAAAATTCCATCACTCTGCCCTCACCCTGCCAAAAAAAATAATCAAAATAGAAAAGATACCCAAAAAATTGCTACCATGCTCAGATGGTTATGTGTAAAAGTTGTATCAAGCATTGAATAATTCCAGTCTTACATAAACTCAGAGAATAAAAAAAGAGGGAATAATTCTCTCACTGGTTTCATGCAACTGGTGTGACCTTAGTACCAGAGTACAGTGCAGACATGCTATTATGTGGGTGTGTATGTCATGACTGCGTAGGTTTAGCCCATGTTTAATATTTAAAAATTTATTGATATAGTTCACATTCAGGAGAAAAACCCTCTTAAAAGGTGTAGATAAAATATCAACAAATTCAGTGGCCATTTATGACAGAAGTTCTTGGCAACTAGAAATAGAAATGAATTTTCTTAACCTGTTGACATGTCACACTTACTGTGAAATTCCAGAAATTTTATTTTTTTAAATCTGGTTTGAGTCAACAATGCCTGCTCTTACTGCTTCTATTTAGCATTGTGTTGCATTACCAGGGCTGCTAAATGGTTCGAAGTGAAGAAATTGATGTCTTATTTCTAGCTGGTATTCTATTTAGATAACCCCAAACAATCTACATACAAATTAGTAGAATTAATAAAAGTTTAGCAAAGTTCCTAGAGTTTAGATCAATATATAAAGATTAATTACATTCTTATATGTCAATAATAGGAAATATAATTTAATAAAATATATTATGTATAATAGAAAAAAGCACCTTTGAAATAAGTCTATGAAACTTGACTAAGACCTTTGGAAAAATTATCAGACTTTATCAGAAGTCATTGAAGAAAGTTAAACAGTCAAAATTTAATGAATGGAAAGATCAGTATCATGAAGCTTCCCCCACCCCCAGATTAACACAAAATTCCACATAATGCCATTCGACATTTCACCTGGTCTTTTTATTGTGTCTGCACATGCATATGCAAGGGAGCAAAGAACTTAAGAAAAAGTGAATTGACTTGCCCTACCAATTCATAGGATTTTGTTTTTAAAAGGCTAATCACAACACTGTGATATTGCACAGGTATGCATGCAGTGACCAATGCGACAGACTAGACAGCTAAGAAACAGATCCATGCGTATGTAAGCGCTCGGTAAACAGCAAAGGTGGCATTGGAAATCAATAAGAAAAGGGTTAAGTACATTTATTTGAACATTGGTTAGTCATATGGAAAAAATAAAGTAGATCTCTCCTTTACCCATACATATATGACCTTACAAATAAAAAATTGAGCAAAACAGTGAGTTTTAGAAATATATATATCTTGTGTTATAATTTTACAGTTTTCTAAATATACAAAAATGCCATATATTTCTTGGTCATGACAGTGCATATATTTACAAAGAAAGAAACACAAGGGAATGTTGAACACTGGCTTTTGGATTGTGTTATCAAATGGTGGGGGAAGGTGGAGGAAACAAGGGGGTTAGCAAAGAGGTTTTTTTGTTTTTTAAGCTGAATGAGTATAAATGTTCATTTAAAAAATATTTTATCACCTAAAAATAATTTAAGATAAATTAAAATCAGTTTTTTCATGTTCACTTTGCCTGTGTGACTGCCTTGATTTAGCTTGATGACTTCCATAGGAAACTCAAAGGTTCTCACTCAGAGCTAGCCAGCCATCTGGGGACAGGTAGTTAGACCAATATAGTGTGATATTGCATCTGTTTCTCTGTTTCCTCATCGTAAAATGGGAATAATCATCTTATGTGTTGTGAGGATTCTGAGTTGACAGATGTATCATTATTAGAGTAAATGACATAGCTTTTCATTTTAGGATAGATTCTAGAATGTGTATATAATTCTTTTCTTAGACTGCCATTAAAAATCATTGATTCTTTCTAGTTTTAATTTTTAAAGAAATGCCGTGCTTCTATTGCTCCTTACCTTCCTTTCTTGGACATTTTTCAAGCCTTAGGATTTGTTTTCTGCGTTACTTTTCTGCAAGCTTTGCCACATGCTGGGATAGAAGTGATTTTGAACAATGTAAAAGTCACTGGGAATTCAAATTGGTTTGTGTTTTCTCTATCAGATTGCTGTTCTAATTGAATTAATGGCAAGAGAGGCATTTTGTGCTCTCTTGAAACCAAAGAAGCCCTGTATTTAAAAAAAAGTTTAATCCCCAGTCTTACTATTTTGATCACCAATGATTTTGTGTTTCTGAATTCATTTTTATTTTTATGCCTTCATGGTTTAATAATTAGGGTTAATTTTTTTCATAACTGCCTACAGCACTGAGTTACTTTTAGGCCATCATTTCTCTGGGTACTCCAAATACTGATTGTTTTTAGCTTTATCTTTTACAGCCTAGAAACTTATTGACATACGTGCTTTAAAACAGAAGTTTAATGCTACATATAAAAACGCGTTTATTCACTGGGGAGCTATAGCTTTTCTGATTGCTGCGTTAAGAAGGTGGAGTTGTTTTGTTTTTTTTTTGCATTCTTTTTTCTATAGTATTTTTCTTACAATGACAGTATTTTCTGTTTCTGGAAATTTGTCAGATTTATAAACAATAAAAGAGAATTTATTCTGAAAAAAAATTCTCAAACGGCTGTCACCTCCTCATCTGAAAATATAATATGCTAAAATTAGTGAAACCTAAGCACCTGCAGGTCCATGACTCCCTGTCAGGAGCAGGAGTTCCTACTGTGTCTGTAGAACACATGTGTGCAGATCATACATACATGTGTGTGCACACATAGGGAGACATGTCAGACCTCATGTGGGGTGGACCTGGCTCACATAGAAGCTCCTGCTCCCCATGTAGTTGGCTCAGTCAGTGCCCCTCCCTTGGGTGTGGGTTCTTTTCTTGAGCAGGTAGCACTTACTGAAAATGTTATGGAAACACTGTTTTTCCTGTGTCCTTCAGGTCGCATCCGCACGAGAAGGCAAAGCTCTGGGAGTGCCACCAACGTCTCCTCTACACCCTCTGATAATCGGGGCCGCAGCCGTGCTAAAGTTGTTTCACAGTCCCAGCGTAAGAAGTATATTTTATGCTCTTGGTTACCTTAGTTTTATTCAACAGCCCATTCTACAGTTGAACATTTTTCAATATTTACATTGACTTCAGGGAGAAAACTCATTTTTGTGGCTCTAAGATACCGTGAGTAATCTTATTGTTTGTTGGGTAAGCGTACAAAATGGAGCATTCCAGGCATACTCTTATCTTCTTTCCAGATGGTTTAAATTTTGTATAATTAAGCATTAAACATTAAAATGTAGTTTCTCTCCCTCTTTTGAAGCCTCTCAAATTGAAACATGTCTGTTCTGTGACTCATTTTTGTGTTGATAGTGAATCGTCTGATGTAATTTTAGAGCAGTACTGGGCAGAACTGTTAATGCTGAATTCTTTCCAGTGGCAAATAAGTAAATCCATTAAAAGCTCTCCCCCTTTAACCCTCTGTTCTAACATTGCAGCCTGCGTCTCTCTTCTTGCCAGTGTGGGCTCTGGCTTTGCCTAGCTGCTCTTGCTTCCATGACTGCTGCTCTGTGTATGTGAAGTCAGTTGGTTTGTTAGCCTGGGCGTGGAAGCAGCCACAGCTGGAGTGCATTTGTTCTGATCACACTTAGGATCCAACCTTGGTGTCTCACTTTCCAGCTACACGTAAATTTGGGTGGCCCGCTGCTTGTCTGCGCACATAGAGTAGAGCTAGGTATCACAGTGCTCCTGGGCAAGGTGAGCTTGGGAAGCAAGAGTCTTCTGTCCCCAGGAGCTGTATGCAGCTCGTTGGCTGACATGTGTCTACCTCCTCTGTGACCCCAGGAGCTGTCTGGCTTTTGTAGAGAGCACTCAGTCTGCAGCCAAACCTTAGGAGCTCTCTCAGTATTGAGAATGCCTTTCTCAACTCCCTCTCAATTTAAATTCTTTTCCATGGGCCTTTGATAACTGGAGTCTTCATGTTAAACAAGCTTATATCCTTTCTGCAAAGAAAGCCAAAGGTCAGTCATATTACTGCCTTTCGTGAGGCGACAGAACCTTTTTGTGGCATATTTGTATTGTGTAGTGTGGTACACTAAAAGCAAGGGAGGGCTTCTATGTCACACAAACCAGGGTTTGCATCTTGGCTCCATTGTGATACTGGTGAGTCTTTTAACCCCTATGAGCCTTTGTTTCACTGTCTGTAAATTCAGTGATAAAAAGTCCCACCTACATGGGGCTTGCATGAGGATTTAGTGAGAATCATGAGCCTAGCATGAGAAGGACAGTCAGGAAATGGAAGCACGTTGTCTAGACGTAATTGCTTCAGGTTGGCAGACTCCCATCCTAGCTGCGGTGGGGCAGCCTTCTCATTTCCTTCTCCTTTCTCCCTGTCTACTTTAGTAGGGTCAGGAAAGAAGGCTAGGGGTGGATTTGTACAGTGAGGAACATAAATAAGGAAAGGGTGAGTCCATTAAGACCAAGAGTGCCCTACTTACTGTAGAACCTAACCTGGATTTTCATTCAGATCCGGGGTACAGGTGTAGCCCAGGAGCTGCTACCTTGGGAACAACATCCTGACTCTGGTTATTCTCTTGAACCCTGGTGACCCCTAGAGACACAGAAGGATGTAATGCTGTGTCATGACCTCGTAAATATGGGTCAAATCTTACTGCAAAGGAATTCTTGACAAAAATTGTTTAAGTCTCAGAATATAGACTCAGTGAAATTGAGTCAAATAAAGAATGTCTGAGCCTTTAACCGTGCAGCATTATTTCCTTCTATGGAGGATGAAGGTTGAACAGTATTTTACATTTTGGTTTGTGTCTGCCATTTATTAGCATTGGCCTCTTCAGGATTTCTTGCCCTGGCTGGGTCAGCAGTGTATTTCTCTCTATATATTGCAAGTTTTAGGAATCCATATGTTACCTCTGCTTTAGGAGGTGGCGAATATTAAAGTTCCTTTTCTAGTAGGGTGAGGGTGATGATAAAGCTCTAATTCTTCAGTCTTATTAAAGTACTGCAAGAGTGCTGTAAGTACTCTTACCTTGGGGCTCCACTTTAAAAACTTTTCAGTTTTACTTTACTCAGCAAATTGCACTCAGGAAGGGAGACCACACCAAACACTAGCAAATGATCAAGCGTGCACCTTAAACTTATGCCTATAAATTAAATATTTTTAAAAAATTATTTTAATAAGAGAGATAACTATAAGCATATTTTTATATGTTACAAATACAGATACACTAGTATTCATAGTCCTGATTTAATACTAAGTAGATTTGATTAATATTAGATTTAAGGTTCTTAATAATTGGTATATTTTAAATATTTGAGGATTAAGAGAAGTCATAGGACATTCAGGTGAAACTAATAGCATTTCTTTCAATGCATTGATGTTTATTGAGCACTTACTATGTGGTAAGCACTGTTGAAGGTGGTAGTGATACACAGATGAGGAAGTTACAATCACTTCCCTCAGGTTGCTTAAAGCTAGAGAGTAGCTGTTCTCTGGGAAGAGGGCAGGTGCTCGTCTTACTCTTCTCTGCATCTTCTAAGCCCAGCACTGTGCCTGGCACATGCAGGTTTGTAAATGTTTTATGAACAGATCTGAAATAAGTGCCAATGCAGGATGATTAAACATAAGTACAGAAATAAACAAGGAGCAACAAGTCCTAGAAAAAAATAGCTATTTTGCTAATGTGTTTGTGAACAATGACATTTGTGTTGTGTTGCATGCTGACCTGCTGTATTGTGTTATTGTCTTTTAATCTACTTTTTGCCTGTCCTTTGGTCTGCTCTCATAATCAAGGATCCAGATCTGCTAACCCTGCTGGTGGTAAGCCATTTCTCTTCTTGCCTTTTTTGTTTTTTTGGCATTCTCCCTCACTCCATGTTCCTTGCACAATATTAATTTCTCTCTCTGTATTATGAGCTTAGTTAATCTTTCTGCATTTTTTTCTCTGTGTTCAAATTCTAGAGTTTGAAATGGATTTTTTTTCCCCTTATACATAGCTTAATAGTTTATTTGTGTGCTTAAATTTTATGGGCAAAATTAGTAGGTCCTGAGACAAATTCTTTATAGTAATGTATATTGCTGATTTTACAGTGATTTTTCACTTCACACTGTAGTTAAATCATTATAAAGTATTGAGTTTTGTGAGTAGTTGCCTGAGTGATTCATTTGAATGATGGTAGTTTTGATAATATATTATTTTTAAATTATATATACGTGTGTGTGTGTGTGTATGTATATAAAATTTCCATGTAAGTATTTCAAAGATTTTTTTTCATCTGGGTCCTTCTATTCTAGTGCAACAAATGTGTACTTTACATTTCAGAATTATATTGCCTTCTCTACTTAAGGAGATGATCTAAGTAAATGACTGCCATTTGGGTGTATTGGCATGATGTTTAAAATTTTGCAGTTTTCTCAGAATTTTGTCTCACAAAAAAATGATTAAATAGCTATCTGGCTGCTTAGCTATTAGTAAAAGTTACCAGCCATATTATTTGTTTTTAATTTACAATTTTATTGCATACTGAATGTAGTCTATGTTATTTCTATTTTTGTAGATTTTTTGAGATTTGCTTTGAGAATTAGCGTATAGTTGAGTTTGTAATATTCATGTGTGTAAGGGTGAAAAGATGTGTGTTCTGTTTGTTGGGATATACATGTGTATGTGGGAAGTGTGTGCGTATGCATATATATACACACAAAATACACACAATTTTGACTGCTCTGTCAATTTCTGTGAGATATATTAGTCTTCTGTTAGTTACTAGCTTGGTGCAAAAGTAATTGTGGGTTTGGGCTGTGAATTTTAAATCGTTATAACTAGGCTCAAACACATCTTTATTAATCAAAGTAGGAACCATTACAATCACATTTTTGCCAATAAGAAATAAGTTTGTTTATTCCTGTAGCATAAAAATCCATGTTTCAGGATTCCACAAACTCTTGTGGAAAACATTTTCTGCATCCTGCTCCTTGTGGAAGCGTTTTCCCTGCAAAAAGTTGTTGAGATGCTTGAAGAAGTGGTAGCGGGTTGGCTAGAGGTCAGGTGAATGTGGCGAATGAGGCAAAACTTCATAGCCCAATTTGTTCAACTTTTGAAACGTTGGTTGTGCGATATGCAGTTGGGCGTCACCGTGGAGAAGAACTGGACCCTTTCTGTTGACGAGTGCCAGCTGCAGGCGTTGCCGTTTTCGGTGCATTTCATAAATTTGCTGAGCAGACTTCTCAGATGTAATGGTTTCGCTGGGATTCAGAAAGCTGTAGTGGATCAGACCAGCAGCAGATCACCAAACAGTGACCATGACCTTTTTATTGGTGCAGGTTTGGCTTTGGGAAGTGCTTTGGAGCTTCTTTTCAGTTCAGCCACTGACAATTGGTCATCACCAGTTGTCGGATAAAATCCACTTTTCGTCACATCACAGTCTGATTCAGAAATGGTTCATTATTGTTGCATGAAAGAAGAGAAGACAGCACTTAGTATTTTTGATTTTCCGTCAGCGCATGAGCTTTTCCACCTTTCCAATTTGCTTCCAATGCCGAAGGACCATAGAATGGTCAACGTCGAGTTCTTTGGCAACTTCTTGTGTAGTTGTAAGAGGATCAGCTTCGATGATTGCTCTCAGTTGGTCATTGTCAACTTCCAGTGCCAGCCACTGTGCTCCTCATCTTCAAGGCTCTCGTCTCCTTCGCAAAACTTCTTGAACCACCACTGCCCTGTACGTTCATTAGCAGTTCCTGGGCCAGATGCATCGTTGATGTTGCGAGTTGTCTCCACTGCTTTACGACCCATTTTGAACTTGAATAAGAAAATCGCTGGAATTTGCGTTTTGTCCAGCATCATCTCCATAGTCTAAAATATAAACAGCAAGTAATAAGTCATTAGCAAAAAAACATGAAGCGAGAAATGCACATTAAAATGATGTGTAACATAACCACATTTATTTAAAAATGTATTCCAATATCAAAGGACAAATTTCAATAGTGCTAAAACTGCAATTACTTTTGCACTAACCTAATAGTCTTTCTATGAGGTCTATTATGGCTTTTTCCATTTCTCCCTATATATTAGTATAGATATTCTTTTATGATATTCAGTGATTTTTTTATGCTCCTATATTTTAAAAAAATTAGTATTACTGCCAACCAAAAATCTTATTTTTATGTAAAATGCTCTTAGTATTTGATCCAAGTTAATGTGTAAAAACTGGCTTCTGAAATTATTATAATTTAGTCCCTGATTTGCATCTTTTGTTTTGCTTCATTTTTAGCTGGCAGCCGGTCGAGTTCCCCAGGAAAATTGTTGGGAAGTGGTTATGGTGGACTTGCTGGGGGTTCCTCGAGAGGCCCACCTGTGACACCGTCTTCAGAAAAGCGAAGCAAGATTCCCAGGAGCCAGGGATGTAGCCGAGAAACAAGTCCCAACCGAATAGGATTAGGTAAGGATTTTCAAAGATCTTGGAACACCATTCCCAGCTTGGTCATAGTTTTGATTATAATCTAATGATTGTGTCTGATATAGAAAATAGAGATTTATTATTGAACCGAGAATGTCACTTTGCCCGTGTTAAAAAGACATTTCAGTTTGTGCTTTCTACAGATTATGGCATGTTGAGGTTTCAGTTAGAAAAATGTGTGGGACTTACATTTCAAAATGATGAGAAGGAATTATGTCATTATAGGTTTTTGTGTGGCACAGTAATTTTATGAAGCATTGGAATTGGGGGAATAGCAGAGGTTTTCCCTCATTATTAGAAGCAATGTTGATTTTCATTTTCCTTTCACTGATTAGCACTAAGTAGTCATTAGCCCATATGAATTTTCAAAGCAATTTTTAGGGTCCATGTTTATTTTAATTTTGATCTTCTCTAGCCTTAATTGTCAAAACTGTGGTTAAAAAAATACGTGTAGTTGCTTTGGACATAATTTTGTTTAAACACAACAGCTACATATTGATGAAAACCAATATATAATCTTTATTTTTGTGTTGGAGTATTTAATTTCTTTGTAATAGTGTGTACCATCATGTGAATTACTCTCAGCAACTTAAAGACCTTGTATTCTATTAAAATCTAATTCATATGCCTACCTTTTTAATATAAAATTTAGAAATCTGTTGTGATATAATACAAAAAATCTAAATTCATACTCTTTATGACATCTTTTTAAGGGCAAAAATCTATTTATAAAATCAGATTATTATATTCTTCAGTCACATTGGCTTATCTTTCTCATTTATTCATTTATCTCCTCAGCAATTTTTACTTTAATGTTTACTCTAATGTACCAGGCATTTTGTTAGCTCTGAGAATCAGAAGATAGATTTAGATTCTGACTTCAGGGAGCTTGTGATCTACAGGGGAGAGATAGAATTGCAGAACAATATGACAGATACTTTGAGAAGGTGCTCTAGAACCATAAAAAAGTAGTGTCTTAGGCTCTTGTTCACCCCGATCCTCTCAGAGTTCCTGCTTGCTAGGATAGGTCCTGTTTTAGTGAAGGACAAGGTGGGATTAGCCAGGGTAGGGAGATGAAGAGGGAGGGAAGCACATGAAGAAGCAGTCAGGTGAGAGAACACCACAAATAATTCATTTGGCTGCTGCAAAGGAAGTTTGTCAGCGTGGATGGGAGTTGAGGGCAGAGACTGGTAGGGTCCAGCTTATGAAAGTCCTTGAAGGCCACCTGAGCTATGAGAAGGCAGGAGCAGATATTTAAGAATAGATAGGATTTTGTTTGAATGCGTATTTCCAAAGCAAGTAAAAAGTGTTTGGTGATATCGTTAATTTCTGTGACGCCAACTTTCTATTGGCATATGTAGCATGGTCTCTGAGCTGACAAGTTATCTGGGTGTTGATGTGGATACAACCACAGAAAAGATCACAGCTGGAATGTCTCAATTCCATATCTCATGCTGTAACGTGTGTGTTTGGGTCTGATTTTGTTTGGAAAATGCATTTGATTTTAAATGTAGGTGTTAGGCTTCAGCTGTCCTTTTTCCATACTTAATTGTTTAAATTTATAGGATGTCCATTTGTAATCCCTGTTAGCTTTATACTTGCAAAAATATCTTTTTTGTTTTGGGATTTTTCTTTTTATATTTATTAGAGATGACATTTTAATCTTCTTCTTGAAATTGGGAAATAACCCAACTTCATTTATCTAACGTAACTCTAAGACCTGGTGTTCCATGATCTTAACTATGAAGTTTGCATCGTGTATAGCCCAAAAGACAGCACTTAAGAGCTTTTCAAAGAGGTGTTATGAAACATCAGTAAGAACTAAAGAGGAGACTGTTCTTTCCCAAGAGTTCTTGTTTGAAACGTTATTTGAAGAATGTTATTTCCTTGATGCTCATTATGGGGATGAGATATGTGGTGAAGCTTTGAGGTCATGCATATAGTCAGATTAAAGAAGATATTTAAACTTTTGCACATTGTGAGTATACACACATATAAAGAAATATATGTGACTAAAATACATCTTTACACTTTTTCCTATAATAGTACTTAGAAATTTCATTTTATATGGTGCCAGATATATTAGCATTCTTCAGTAATTGTATATTATTGTGATCATTTAGTGCGTACTGGATATACGCCTATGTGTCTAAACATTTGGCTCATTGTATAGTAGTTTTCAATATAAATATTCAAAAAGGAGAGGAGCATTTTTAAAGAATATTTTCTATAATCCCAAATCAATTAATTCGACAGTTTTAATGATAGCTAAACTAGGCTTGGAACTTGTACTGAAAATTATTCTAGTTCTCTACAAATTATGTTTGCTTCAACTATGCCTCTTTTTGTCTGAAATCATATTTCTTAACTAAATTTTCTTTTATCGTTTGTTTTAAAATATGATACCAACGCTCTTCTTTGGTGTTTAAGATTTCTTAAGTTAAATAGCCTATAATTCCTGTTAAATAACCAAGAAGCAAAATAAATTCCTGCTACTCTCTTTTTTTCTTGGTGATTTATTCCCTTGTAAGCTATCTGATTGAGTGGAAAAATACATTTGTAAATTGTTTCGCTTTTGTGTGCTTTAGAGATAATAAAGACTTTATAGATAATAAAGTCACATAAATCGCCAGCACCTATAGTTGTTATATTTTGGAAGTTTACCTTTGGTTCCCTTCTTCTCCTGCTCATGTATTGAAAAGGCTGTTAAAAACTCACTTGACATTTATGCCATTTGCATGCTATGGATATGTATTTAGAATACTTCAAGATTTTCTGGTTAAAAATACTTTCAAAGAATTAAACATTAATAATAATCCATTTCAACTGTGAAATTAAACTGTCCAAGAAGAAGAGATGAAAATGTCTAGACCACAGGGACATTTCATGTCTCTAACTTCTGGTTGTTTTTATTAATCCTTTGTACTTCTGCTTTTCAATATGAGTTCTGGTTAGATCTTTCCTTAAAAGACAAAAGTCAGGATTACCATTGGAACACTGCGAAGATGGGGTAGAGTGTTCACCAAGAAATGAAAACCAATCTGATGGTTTTTCAAGGCTTCCCAGCATTTCATGTAAGCACAAGACCAAAGAGCTGCCTGGGAATGCTGCTGCTAGAGAGTGGACACGGCAAGTATGTTCTCATCGTGTCGCTTCTCTTATGCCTGGTGCTCCCTAGCATATATTCTCTCCTAGAACATTTAGTTTTGACACTTAAACGACAAGTTGATTTGGTATAATTTTTTTTTAAGTTTTGACCACCTAATTAGTCTATAAAAATCCTTTATTTATATAGTTATTTTAAATCCTCCTTGTAGATTAGTCTTTGAAAGTGGTGTTACAAGTGAGTGGGCGTTTTTCCTCTTGTGCTTTAAATTATAACATTTGAACTGTTGATGTCACCACTAGATGTACTTTAATGAGCTTTAGGGTAACTATGGGCAGGTTTTCACAAAATCGTAAAAAGAAAGAAATCTTTTTGTGTATACTACTACTGGTCAGTCAGCATGAATAGGTGAACGAACTTTCTGGGTGAAATACCAGAAGGGGTAAACTTGTTGAGAAATTTTTATGTACTGTTATTTCAAATCGTATATGTTTATCCCTGTTAATGCTCTTTAATGTCCTCACAAAGCAGAGTGAGCCCAGAGAGAGAGCACTTCTTACTGTTGTAGCATGTATATGAATTTAAGGAAGGAGAGCTGAGTAAAAGTTCAGAAGTAATCAGACAAGAACTATTAAGAAAATGCTCAAATAAGTATGAACTTATATGAAAAACTATCAGGACTGTTTTTATTACTTTGTGATTATTTGTTTCGGAGTGTGGTGGAATAAGACAAGATTTTCATGTGTGCCATTCGGCAGGGACTCTGAAGTACTTATGTGTGGGGGTTATTTCATTGTATCCTTCTCATTTAAATGATGGGACTCTCTCTTGATCCTCATTTGCCTAAGGGGAGGCTGAGACACAGAAAGGCCAAGTGGCTGGACCAGTGAGTTAGCAGGGAACTGGAGAAGTCCCTTATGACTCAGATGTAGCATTGGTCTTCTAGGGATGAGCAGTTTTGCTTTGTACATTCTAGGAAACTTTTCCATATTGGTAGGGTGGTGGATATGCCTTAGTTTTTTAAGGATTTGATTTGGTTACCTATTCCTTTTGCCCTCATTGTAGGAGCTGTTTAGAATGTTATCAAGAATTGCTGATAAAATAGCCACTACTACTTTGAAAACTCAGTGTTTTCCTGTCACTCTGGCAAAACTGAGGAGAGTTCGGGAATTTCTAATGAAGCTCCAATGAAGCCTTGTTTGGCCTGATTGCTCAGAGTGCGTTCCTGTGCTTGACCTTTTTTTGCCTGGGCAGTGTAAGCATTTGAACATTGCTTAAAAGCCTTCAGCGTCTAGTTCAACCCTAGCACTGAGCGCCTGGGCACAATAGGAAGTTGGCTTTATTTTTCACTTTCACGTTCTTTTTTATCACAGAATTTCATGATTCTCGTTTGTTAGGCATTCTTGGTACAGTTTGGCTGTGCAGTAAATCTTTGCTCTGAAAAAATAGGGTATGCTCATTGCAATATAGAATAAGTGTTTGTTTTTACATCAGTGGATCATTGATGTATTGACTTATTATTTCCAAAATCTCTGAGGAAGACATTTGTATCTAGTTCAGAAATTGTAGATCCTCTCAAAATGGAAATGTGTACTGTTCCTGTCAGCTATTATGTTATGCATTCCACCTTCACTCATTCAGTGTGGAAGGTTGTTTTGGAGTATTTTGCTGCTAACGTATTTCCATTTTCTCAAGTTGAGAAACAAAGGTGTCGTGGTCTTTTCTGGGCTTCACAGCCAAGGTATTGTTAATATTAGACCTTAGGCTATTCATGTGACTCTGTCTTGTAGTCTCAGTGTTTTATAACATGAGAATAACGAGCTTTATCTGTAGATAATCATAAAGTAGTTCACTCTTCTCAGGTCAGTGGAGGGAT